CACGCACGAACACGAAATCGAAATCGATTTCCCGGTAGGGGGGCCCTCCGTTCCACTTCGATCTCACCCCCTCACCTCCGATATATTTGTATATATATATATTATATAATATATATATATATAATATATATATAATATATATTATATATAAATATACACATATAACGGCGCACCGGGTCCGGGGGCCCGGGGCCGGGACCTCGACCACAAATGTGCACCCCGGGGGGCCCGGAGGCTCGTCGGGGCTTGCCGGAGGCCTCCCCGGTCAGACAAGACGGCCCCAGAAGCGCCCAAGACGACCCAAGAAACTTCCAAGAGGCCTCCAAGAGGGCTCCGAGATGCTGAAGATGGCCTCCAGACGTCCAAGGACGCCCCCAAGAGGCCCCAAGAAGCCTCCAACATGCGTCCCAAGAGGGCCCCTAGACGCAAAAATTGGCCCATTCCCTTCGTAAAACGTACATTTCAACAAAGTTGTCTTTTGGGCTTTCCGACGTTACAGGACGGCCCAAGAGGCGCCCAAGACCGCCCCAAGACGGCCCAAGAAGCTTCCAAGAGGGCCCCAGGACAGCCCAAGAGGGCCCCAAGACGGCCCAAGAGGCGCCCAAGATGGCCCAAGAGGGCCCCAAGACGGGCCCAAGAGGGGGCCCAGAGGGGGACCACGAACCGCAAGCTCGAGCCTTCCGCCCCAAGAGGCCGCCAGGAGGCCCCCAGGAGGCCCCTCAAGAGGCCCCAGGAGACCCCAGACGTCCAAGGACGCCCCCAAGAGGCCCCAAGAAGCCTCCAACATGCGTCCCAAGAGGGCCCCTAGACGCAAGAATTGGCCCATTCCCTTCGTAAAACGTACATTTTTAACAAAGTCGCCTTTGGGGCTTTCCGACGTTACAGGACGGCCCAAGAGGCGCCCAAGACCGCCCCAAGACGGCCCAAGAAGGCCCAAGAAGCTTCCAAGAGGGCCCCAGGACAGCCCAAGAGGGCCCCAAGACGGCCCAAGAGGCGCCCAAGATGGCACAAGAGGGCCCCAAGACGGGCCCAAGAGGGGGCCCAGAGGGGGACCACGAACCGCAAGCTCGAGCCTTCCGCCCCAAGAGGCCGCCAGGAGGCCCCCAGGAGGCCCCTCAAGAGGCCCCAGGAGACCCCAGACGTCCAAGGACGCCCCCAAGAGGCCCCAAGAAGCCTCCAACATGCGTCCCAAGAGGGCCCCTAGACGCAAAAATTGGCCCATTCCCTTCGTAAAACGTACATTTTCAACAAAGTCGCCTTTTGGGCTTTCCGACGTTACAGGACGGCCCAAGAGGCGCCCAAGACCGCCCCAAGACGGCCCAAGAAGCTTCCAAGAGGGCCCCAGGACAGCCCAAGAGGGCCCCAAGACGGCCCAAGAGGCGCCCAAGATGGCCCAAGAGGGCCCCAAGACGGGCCCAAGAGGGGGCCCAGAGGGGGACCACGAACCGCAAGCTCGAGCCTTCCGCCCCAAGAGGCCGCCAGGAGGCCCCCAGGAGGCCCCTCAAGAGGCCCCGGGAGACCCCAGACGTCCAAGGACGCCCCCAAGAGGCCCCAAGAAGCCTCCAACATGCGTCCCAAGAGGGCCCCTAGACGCAAAAATTGGCCCATTCCCTTCGTAAAACGTACATTTTCAACAAAGTTGTCTTTTGGGCTTTCCGACGTTACAGGACGGCCCAAGAGGCGCCCAAGACCGCCCCAAGACGGCCCAAGAAGCTTCCAAGAGGGCCCCAGGACAGCCCAAGAGGGCCCCAAGACGGCCCAAGAGGCGCCCAAGATGGCCCAAGAGGGCCCCAAGACGGGCCCAAGAGGGGGCCCAGAGGGGGACCACGAACCGCAAGCTCGAGCCTTCCGCCCCAAGAGGCCGCCAGGAGGCCCCAAGGAGGCCCCTCAGGAGGCCCCAGGAGACCCCCAAGAGGCCCAACGGAGGCCCCGAGAAGCCCCAAATCGCCTCCAAAATGCTTCGAACCTGCTTCCAGGAGGCCCCCGACAGGTTCAGAGGCTCCCGAGAAGCTACGTCAAACTCCCAGCGAGAACGATCCTAGCTAGAACCTAAGCGCGCGCGAAGCGCGCGCGTGGTTCTAGTATATATATATATATATATATATATATATATATATATATATACAGATGCCTGTGTATAGATGTGTAGGTGTATATGTATATATATATGTGTGTATTCGCATGAAGGTACAGGAATTGAGACATCCATATCTAAAGAGAACGAGAGCTACATACATAGAGAGAGAGAGGGGGAGAGAGAGAGAGAGAGATGGATAACAAGAGAGATAACAATATCACAACAGGGATGTCGATGAACATATCATACCTAGACTGGACTAGAACGTAGAATTAGTCTAGGGCGGGAGGAGGGGCGATTGAGGCGCCTGCGAAAAAATCAAACATCCACTGATTGGGTTTTTCTCTGGTGTTATATTTGTTCAACACCCCTCGCCAAGAGATCCGGCCAGAATGTTAGACACTATACCTCGTCCTGGAACGTCTCTGCGAAATCCCATGTGACAGGGTCCGGGTACCTTAGTGTAAAACGCGCGGCGCCCACCATAGCCCTTGCAGTTACATATGAAAATGAAGGGTTGGTGGGGTCGGCGGCAAAACACACTGCACATTGCACAACGAGCCCGCCGCAGGCGCTGCGTTTCCATCAAAGTTGGGTGCGTCGCGAGTGGGTCGCGGGTGGGTCGTGGGTGGGTTGCGGGCGGGTCGCGGGCGGTTCGCGGTTGGGGCTCGCGTAGGTCGCGGGCGGGTGGCGGGCGAGGACGACGACAACAAGAAACGACACACACCAACAAACATCAAATAAACAGCAACAGTAATCAAGGTGTTAGTTCTCTTATTCGTTGTTTTGCCGATCGGCGCGGGCCTTCGCCCCCCCCCCCTCCCCCCCTCCACCATGGAGTAGATCTTGTGTGTGTTTTTGGCGCCTGTTTCGACCAGGCGGGGTCTCCCCCATAAAACACACTGTTGCCAACAGTCGCACCAGGCAGCGGTCCAGAGCCAGACCCCCCCCCCGTCCCTCCCCCTTTCCGCCCAATGTCGACGCGACGAATCTGACAGCGCCCACCTTGGGTTCAGCAGGGGTGGGGCCGCGGGTCTCAAGCCGTGCCTCGGGAGGAGGAGGAAGAGGAGGAGGAGGAGGGGGAGGAGGAGGAGGAGCGAGGAGGAGGAGCGAGGAGGACGAGGAGGAGGAGGAGATGGTGGAGGAGGAGGAGGAGGAGGAGGAGAGGAGGAGGAGCGAGGGAGGAGGAGAGGAGGAGGAGGACTGGTGGAGGAGGAGGGTGGAGGAGGGGAGGAGGAGGGAGGAGGAGGAGGAGGAGGAGAGGAGGAGGAGGAGGAGGAGGAGGAGGAGGAGGAGGAGGAGCCCTCGCCCCGATAAGCAGCTTCCCCCCCGTCGCACCACCCTGCGTGCCCGCAGGCTGGGCGCCGGGCGTTGTCTCTTGAGGAGCCACATTTGCAGCCTGCTGTGCGCCATCGTTCACTCCACGAGTATCGATATCTCAAGCAGTGGCGAAGCGTCCTGGCTCGCCTACAGCCCTACCAAACAATGTTCTAAGAACCTTTTGTGCTTTCCACGAAGTGTTCTTAGAACATTTCTGGCGGAGTCTGTCTTGTTTTATCACATCGGGTTTATGTTCTAAGAACATTGGTTTTGTTCTTAGAACATTGTTGGGTTCTAGGAACATGTCGTAGTATGACTACAGGAATGCCTGGACGGTCGGTCCCTGCTCAAGTATCGTTTATCCGATCCCCATACCCATCACCATCCCCTTCGAGCCCCCGACCAAATTACCCCCCCAGTTGGGGACACAGCTCTCCAAACCCGAAGGGAACGGCCTACATCTCCATCAAGGGGGGGTAAATCGGTCAGTGGGGCCCAGGCCACGTCGGTGGGGATGGGGATCGGTCAAACGTTACCCACGGTCGTTCTCGAGATGCGGTCTTCTCCCAGCGCCGCGCGCAGTGGTCTTCAAATTTGTCAGCAGTTGCCAGGGATGATGGGCGGGTGGTACGCACAGTCGTTTTCAAAGCTTTCCGGCAGTTGCCTGCTATCGAGGCTGGCACTTTTTTTAAAGTGCGGCCTTCGGCTCGCGCACATCTCGTCTGACAGTGCAACACTTCGAAGGATGGAGGACAGTTCGTTTTCATAACGCGGGTTTCGTCTGAGCGCCGCGCACATCCGATTGACACGCCCTCAGCAGCTGCAGTGGGCACAGGCCGGGTCCTTCTCGGCGGGTGGCTTCCTTCCTTCAGCTGCCGAGGCACCAAGAGATGTCGCAGATGCGCGGACGGAGGGCCGCTCCTGTGCAAGAGGGGGGTCTCGCTTGAGATCTCTCGGGCGCCATGCTCGTCAGGAGGGGAAGAAGCACACAGACACAATGAATCGTCCATTTCCAGGAAAATCTAGCCCCCAGGGAAACATAGGAAAGGATGGGGAGTGGGGGGGGGAAGACCAACAACCCCGAAAATAGGGGAAAGCATGGGGGATCACTCTATGTGTGTGGATTTATGTGTGTGTGTGTGTGTCCCAGGGCCCCATCGGATCCGAAGACTGTGTGAGGAAAGCCTCGTGCGCGTGGGGCGGCAGCTGCTCCTCCGAGCGGGGCCCTCGCCCGAGCGGACGGCCCCACGGGGCGCTCGCCCCCATCAGGGCGCCGCCTCTCGGGATGAGAGGGAAGGCCTGCGGAGGCCTTGCGAGTAGGCTGAAGGATGCTCCAGCCTACTGTAGCGTTGATCACCAGGACGACTTCCGGGCGCCCCGAGAAGCGCCGAAACCGCAGGGGTTTCCACGCGTCGGGCCCTGGGAGACGCTCGCCCGGCACTGTTTCGGCACTGTTTCGAGGCTCTTTTGGCACTTTTCCGGGTGCTCGGAACTATTTCTGGGGTGTGGTCCTGTAGGAGGAGGAGGAGGAGGAGGAGGAGGAGGAGGGGGAGGAGGAGGAGGAGGAGGAGGAGGAGGAGGATGGGGACAACATAAGAGTAGGCGATCGGTGACCTGGGGTGGGAGGGCGTGCTGCGGCATCGTCGACCCTTGGCACGCGTCCTCCGTGCCTCGTGCTCCTCCTCCTCGCGCGGCCAAGTGGGCGAACCCGCACCAGGGGAGGGGCGCGGGGAGGGGGTCCAGCGCTGGCGGAGACGCCGCCCGTGGCCGCCCAGGCCTGAGATTTTCAGCGTTGCGAACCAATTTGTCCGATGTCGCAGAGCAGCACGACCCGAGGCTCAGACTCAAGTCGGGCCTGTCTCCCTACAGGAGGAGAATTCAAAAATAGTAAAACAAAAACATGTGGGGACGAGTTGTTGACGATTTTTGAGCATTTTGGGGCTATTTCCTGAATACTTTTAATTTTTCGCTCCAGATCCCCCTGTAGAGGGACAGGCCCGACCTAAGCTTAGACCCAAGCTTTCTGATGCCTCCTGCGAGGCGGATCGATCCGGGGCCCGGGGGCCCGGAACTGGGCGAACACGTTCGGTATGAAGAAGTGGTTCCGCCCAGATTTCAGGGGGAGCGTACTTATGCTTAGGTCGAAAAATCGCCAAACGCAGTCCAGCGAGCAGGACAGATCGTCACCAGACGATGTTGCTAGTATTCTTGAGGGTGTTCCTCTTGGGAGAGGGACATGGCCGACTTGAGTGTATGTTTCGTGTTTGCTTTCGGGCCTCGCGGCGATCGGGGACGAGCGCCAGGCGGTGCCGCACCCTCCGGGAGGGCTATAACCACCTGCCCGTGGTGCTGGTGGGGTTGGCGGCGGCGCCAGTCTCGTGGTGGCCGCCTTCGCGAGACCTCGACGATTTCTACCGCGGCATGGAATATCGAGGAGGCGTAAGACTAGGCTAAGTCGGGCCTGTCCCTCTACAGGAGGAACATTCAAACATAGTTAAACATAGTATGGGGACGATGTTTTGAGTATTTTGTGACATTTTTTGAATGTCTATGACTATTCTGAATTTTTCGTCAAGGCCCGCCTGTAGGAGGACACGCTCTTCTAGATGGGGTCCGAGTAGATGGGGCCAGAGGATCGCGTCGCAAAAGCATTGGCGGTGCGGCTCAATGTGGAGCCCGAGTTTCTCCACGCCGACGTCGCCCATACGCCGCCGACGTCGCCGATACGCCGCCGACGTCGCAGATACATCGGCGATGTATCGCCGATGCATCGGCGATGCATTGGCGATGCGGCGCGATCCTCCGACCTCATCTACTCGGACCCCATCTGGGAGGCCTCTAAAGACTCGAGTGCGCTGGAACTCGGGTTCGCCGACGCTTTTCGACTGGGTTTTGACGGTCTGGTTTCCTTGGGCTGTCTGCTATTGGAAATTCGCGTCAAATTTCAGATTGGGTCTCGTCATTTTCATTGATGGTCCTGTCGGGCCAACCCGAGTCCCCCTAACCCGAGGCTTACGTCTCCCCGAGAAGAGAGAGATAACAAGTTGATGGCGTTGCACTTCAACAGTCCGATCTACAATGCCATCAAGCCCTGGCTGTGGTACTGGTATCCGCTGTTTCCCAGCCACTGGCTCTGGTGGCAGGTCAGGAGGCAGGTGGCTGGAGAGGCTGCGGCAGCGATTCGGCTTCTCTGCGCAGGAGTTGTTGGCCCTGTGCTCTTGTCGATTTGGTTCACGTGGCGAGGACCTCGCTGCCTCCTCGCCTTAGTCGATAACGCTTCCACGCTACGAGTCTTGCAAGTGAATCAGAAGCATTATTATCTGCGTCGCCTCCTGTGGAGAGTGCCGTTCTTCTCCATAGTGGTCTCTGCCCTGGTCTTTGCAGTGATCCCGTCACAAGCGGATGCATTTGTGGCCTGGGCTTCTTACTTTGTTTGCAAAGGTTGTATTTTTGGCTTTGTGTCATTTGGCACTTCCAGGGTCGGCTCTGGTCAGCAGGGAATTGGGACGGCATTCGGTCGACTCAGATGGACCCTGTTTGGTTACGTGTGCATGCTGTTGGAGCTTCTTGTGATCTGGTTACCGCAGTGTCGAGGCGCCCACTGGGTCTCGGATAAGCTGCTTGCACCCGTCTGCAGCAGAACTTCGGAGCCAGGTGTTGCCCTTCTGCTGGCACAGGTTCTCGGCTGCAATGCCACAGCGTGGATCGTCATCGTGAGCTGTGTCCTCGTGGTCGTGGTTTCCCAGTCGCTCCTCTTTTGGTGCACGGAGTGCGGGCAGGAGGCCATAGGCAGCGGCTCGGTTGCGGAGTGCGACTTCATTGACGTATCCCCAGACCTCCGACATTGTTGAATTTCCATTCCTGAAGAATAATTATTGTTGATCCCCCCTCACCGGTGCATATTGTTTTTCTCAATCGAAGTGTGCCCCTCGACGCTCGCACCCTGTTTCTTGGCATGGAAAGTCTTGATGCTCAAACTGCGCCCCTGGCCCCTGGGTTACAACAACAGCGGCTCCCGCCTGAGACTTCCTCCAAATTTGGGCAGGGCCGCGCTCCCGCCCGATATTTCCTCGCTTTTAATTCAGGAATCGCGCTCTCGGTTG